TATTATAATTTGGAACGCGTTGTAAAGCGGGACGTAGTGGCACATAAATGCGAAACAAAATTTGAGATTGTCCCTCCTAATTTGGGACGGTTAGTCACTAATAAGATGTATAGGAGCCCCAAAAGCACCCATATTGCTCCGTCTGTTCCATCATTGGATCGAGTTGCTCCGTCATTTTACTCATGCGCACAAAGTTCCCTAGAGCAGACGAATTCTTGTCATCTCCCATCTAGTGTTGTTAGGTGAGTTACCTTTTAGCGCTTGCGCATTACAGCGCTAGTGAAATCCAGTAACGTACACATAGAGTCCTAGATATCAGAGAAGCGCAACCGGTGTTCCGCATTCTGATTCGCTGTTACAGTCACGTGGCTTGGCAGCCATTTATAATACTAGTGACATACTTCTATTTCATTTTATCCTACAATTCTATCTCACATTATCTTACACGTTCTATCCTAGGCAAATGAAAGTTTTATGTTACCATTTTTTATGCGTAAGTTTAAACATTTTAATTGCATATAATGATATATATGTGCTTTGGCACATAAGATTATTGTTTAATCTTTTAAAATATTATTTACATAGGCTGCTTTCCTTTTAGGAGATACAAATCGACACAGTATAACACTCAAACACAGTTTGTCACACATACTCTGACTCTCCTCTTGAGCAGAGGCGAAGTGTGTCGAGTTTGATAAAAAATTGTAAATGGAAAAAAAAATTAAAATATTTAATAAGTTTCCTACTTCTTTCCACTTCAGCAAGAATATCTTCCATTTGAACTGAGACTGGACTGCAACTTTTGCTGATTCCATTTATTTCTCCATCAATATTACATATGTTTTTGTAATTATAACTCTCTTTACTGTTGCTGCAGAATTGTTCTTGAACAGTATCCATGCTGACTAAATTGTGAACTTGTTCGTTAACAGTAGATGCTTCACAATTATCATTTTTTTCAATGTTTCTTGGATGTGAGAACATAATACTGCAATCGTACCTGCAATTATGCAATACCTTATCTTCAAACATTTTTGTTTTAATTTATAAACAAGCAATCACAAACGACTTTAAAATTATTTTATTTCAAACATTTGGAATACTCCATAGATTAAACCATATGAAATTCTTCTACGTATCATACAGAATTATTTATTTGAGTAATCTCTGATGAAAATTTTTCTCAGAATTTTTCACATAATTTTGCAGAAATTCTATATAATTTTTCAGAATTTCCATATAATTTTATAACTTTCTTACATTTTTCATACGAATTGGAACACTTCTCAGAAAATCTACATCTTATCTCAGAATTTTTCATATATATTACTTATGAAATATATAAGATTTCTAAGATTTTTTGTATAATTTCTGATGAAATGTTATAAAATCTAAAACAAGAACATTTTTTTTTAATTATGGAATGAGAAATTTCAGAATTCACTTGTATAAACAGTTCTGAGAGAAGATATAAACTTTCTGAATATTTCTGAAAAATGTTCTAATTCATACAAAAATTATGAGAAAAATTGTCGCTAGAGATGCAATAATATTTTTTTAATTTCAGGAATAATTTTATCGAGAATCTTTCGAAAAAACCTTTCGAGTAAAGTTTTACTCCGTTAATAGCAGTGCAAATTAAGAGGTTATGGTGATGACAGTTTAAAGGCAGTTTCATTGCATGTCGGCCATTTTTAATACTCTCGTTAGTAACTTTGCGATACTGACTTAAGCCGGTTGCGCTTCTCTGATATCTAGGACTCTACGTACACAG